GTTAATTCCCTCTGGTCTCTAGCTACCTAAATTGCAGACACATGGTATGACAAATCATCAACAGCTGTAGGACTAGGATAAGAGAGAGAGAGAGAGAGAGAGAGAGAGAGAGAGAGAGAGAGAGAGAGAGAGATTGCTTCCCACAGTGAGCAGCAAGACTTGCGGGAAACTGGTGTACGACACTGGTGACAGCCAGACCGGAGTAAGACTCTGATGAGAGTGAGACACCTGGTGATGGTGGTGGAGAGACTGTGGTATTGCTGTGGAGAAACTGTGGCAAGGTGCGACCTGAGGTTTCTTGCATTTGTGACGACCACAATTAAAAGTTTAGCTATTCTTAGGGAGCTCTGGTGGCCTAGTGGCAAGAAGCTACATTGCAATCCCAGAGGTACGTGGTTCAAATCCACCAGATACTCTGCTGGAAAAGGAGAGGCAATCTCCTCCTGTACCAGTCAGATCTGATTTGATGTTACACACACACACACTATAATAATAATAATATATTTAAAAAAAGTTTAGCTATTCTTGCTATAGCTTGAGAAGCTGACTTTGCTGAATGATTGAATAAGCCAGAGACTTCTTGAATTTGTGTTGCTAAATTTAAACTTTTATGAATTAAAGAATTGTGTTTTGCTATTAATCTGGCTTGAGACTGCTGGACTAAACCTGAACTTACATTGTGAGATATTCTTTGCCTCTCCTAACCCCCAACCTATTTACCTAATAAACCCCATTCTTGATACCACAACTAAAGTCTCTGACTCAACAATGAATAAAAGAAATGTTTGCTGCTGGTTTAGCTCTAGAAGCACCATGGGGCTGGGCTACAGGCTCTTTATCTGCTTTCTGCTCTGGGGTGGTGAGGGGCGGAGCTATTCTCATTCCCTCTAGCCATTTCACAGAGCCACTGATTGCCCTGTGCTCCCAAGTACCATTTTCTGTTCCTTTCACAACTACACTACAACTAAAACAAATGAAATTTTTTTTTCCACATTCATCCTATACTCTCTCAAAAATAATATACTGTTAGTGGAAAACAAAGCAATGCTAATTTTATTAAATTAAGTTAATTAGAGAAAGCTCCTATGGAAGCAAAGAAATCTATTGGATCCTCTCAAACTCAATTACTATTTTATTAACACAGAATGCTCTCTTTTCAAGATATTTGCTTCCTACAGACTTTAGAATCAGTTTTATTCAGTCTCCCCAGCATCCTACAGGGTGCTCTGGTGGCTAAGTGGGATGAAGCTGAGCTATTATACCAAAGGCATAGGTTCAAATCCACCAGCTACTCCACATACAGGTGTGCAATTTCCTCTCATGCAATTTACTGCCTCCAAAAGAAAAACCCCTGGAGGGTAAGCTATGAGTTGGTTATGACTCAACAGAGCAGAAAAACAGTAACATCCTATTGCTCCCCCCACCCCGTGTACTGTCAAATCAGACCTGAGTGGCACTGGAGGAAATTGCCCTTCCTTCTCTGGCAGAGCATCTAGTGGATTCAAACCGCACACCTTTGGGATAACAGCACAGCTTCTTGCCACTAGGCCATCATAGCATCATTCTATTGTGATTTAATATTTGAATGTTGTAGAAAATTCTTTGCTAAGAGCAAGAGGAAAAGAGTCTTAACAAAGACTAACACAGAGGTTACAAGAAAAGGGTTTACTATAGCAGAATTTTAAGAATGGCGCAGAATTGGTTAGCAGTGCAACATAATACATACTATACTACTAGAGCTCTTCAGGATTGAGTAGTCGCGCACGCGCGCGTGTGTGTGTGTGTGTGTGTGTGTGTGTGAATGTCCCCTATACCTAAGGAACTCTGGTGGCCTAGCTCTGCCAACCCAAAAGCAAGTTGTTCAAATCCACCAGCTTTTCTGAATGAGAAAGATGAGCAATCTCCTATGAGATTTACAGCCTCTGAAAATCCAACAGAGGCTCACAGGTGTCAGTTATGAGTTCAACTTGATGTCACCTACAAAATGACAAGATTCCCCCCCCCATTTGCCCAAGTTATTTTCCTTAAGACCATTGGTAACGCAGTATAAACATTACTTTCTAAAAAGATTTTTCACCTTTCTTGATTTCTCCCATCACAGTTTATTTTTTTAAGTTTCACAGTCAATCATCTTCTGCTCTATCTTTTAAGTGGCTCTTGTTTATATATTCAATTGCTACTGGTCTTATATATTAACTTTGCTACTAGTCATGTTATTGAATTTTCTTATTATTAGAAACAGTCTTTTTATCCTGGTTAATTTTCTTGACTGTCCTCAAATAGAAGCAGTGTATTAAAAAATAAATATTTTCCATCCTCCTTTCAAACCTCTCATTTCTTCCTATTGTTTATCATCCTATCAGATATTATCTCAAAAATGTTCAATTCTATTGGGAGAGTGGCATAATGAGGTTGTTTCCACAGCTGTTCCATTATGCATGAATTTGAAGAAAAATATAAACATTTTAAAAAATTCAATTATGCAAAACATACACTTGAAAGAGAATTTTTTAAAAGCTGAAATATGGAACTCTGGTGGCCTAGTGGAAAGAAGCTGAGCTGCAATCCCAAAGTTGCTCGGTTCAAATCCACTAGACACTCCACTGAAGAAGTTAGATCTGATTTGACAGTACACAAGAAAATAAATAAATAAAGAGTATTCTGACAAAAACATAAAAAAAAAATTGAAATGTTTCTTAAAGTAACTTAATATTAATCAGTTGGCACATGTCTCTACAATTTATAATCCAATGAAATAGCAATAATTTATTCAAAGTTGACAAGATCGGAAGAGAAGCAAAGGTTGAAAAATAAGAGTCACTTACCTTCCCACTTTTTGGCTGCCAAGCAAGCCTACAGATTGATTTTGCATTTATCACATCATTGCATTTTTGTAGCAAAGGCCAGCTAACAGAACATGTCTGAGTAAAATAAAAAATAAAATCAAATAAATAGCCCCCAAATTTCCCCCTAGAAAGGTATATAGACTTGAGTACATTTAATAGGTGGTTTTCTCAACCTAAGGTAGTTTTCTCAGAAAATGAGAATCTACTTTAATTATCAAAACTAAAACTCATTACCACTGAGTAGAAAAGGACCCCGAGTTGCCCTCCAGCAGGTTTTCAGATACTATAAGCCATACAGGAAGAAACTGCCCGTCCTTCTTCCTCAGAGCAGCTGGTGGATTCAAACAATCTGCCTTTGGGTTTGTAATGCAACTTTATACCCACTAGGCCATTGCTGTTGTTAGGTGCTACTGAGTTGACTATAACTCACAGTGACCCTATGAACAAGATTTGAACCCTGTCCTATCCTGTGCCATCCTCACAATCTTTAACATACTCAAGCCCAATGCTACACACACTGTGTCAATCCATCAGGTTGAGGGTCTTCCTCTCTTTCACTAATGCCCCACTTTTCTAAGCATGATGTCTATTTTCAAGAAACAGCTTCTCCTAACAATGTGCCCAAAGTGTGTAAGACAAAGCTTTGTCATCTTTGCCTTCAAGGAATATTCTGGCATATTCAAGACATTTCTGTTTCTTCTTTTAACAATCCAGTACTCTTCTCCAACAACACAGCTTAAAGGCATCAAACCTTCTTTTGTCATCCTTAGTCATTTTTCAGCTCTCAGATGCATATTAAGTGACCGACTAGACTGTGGCCTGAATCAGGGACATTTGACATCACTGCTCTTCACAAATTTGGAGAGGTCTCTGAGAGCAAGAATTTTCTAATGCAATGCAATACAATTCTCGACTGCTGGTACCAAGGGTGTTGACTGTGGATCCAAGTAAGATGAAATGTGACAATTTGAAACTTCCCTTTATCATGATGTTGCCTATTGGCCCACTGTGAGAATTTCTGTTTTCCTGATGTTGAGATGTAATTCATAATTGAAGGCTGTAGTCATTGATCTTCTGCACCAAGTGTTTCAAGTCCTCCTCACCTTCAGCAAGCAAAGTTGTATCATCTGCATAATGCATCCTGATGCCACATTCTTCTTCATAGAGTCCAACTTCTTGAATGATTTGCTTAGCATACATATAGGCATGGGGGGAAAAGATATAACCTCTCTTAACTTTTGAACAATGTAGTATTCCCTAGCTCTGTTCAGACAACAGCTTCTTGGCCTAGGTGTAAGTCTCATATGAGCATAATTAAGTGTTCTCTCATTTTTCTCAATGTTAGCCATAGCTTGTTAAGATCAACAGAGTCAAATGCCTTTGCATAGCTGAAAATACAGACATTCTTCTGGTATTCTCTCCCCTCAGCCAAGATCCACCTGCCATCAGCAGTGGTCATGTGATATCATTCTAGTGCCAGAGCATCTTCTAAATCCCATTTGAACTTCTGGGAGTTTTCTGTTAATGTACTGGTCTGGCCATTTTTGGGTGATCCTCAGCAATATTTCGCTTGCACATAATATTAATGGCATTGTTAAATAATTTCCACATTCTGTTGGATTCCCTTTCTTAAGAATGAGAACAAATATGGATATCTTCCAGCCAGCTTCTTAGGTAATTATCTTCCAAAAATCCTAGCATAGATCGGTAAATATATCCAGTGTTGTGTCTGTTGGCTGAAACATGTCAATTGATAGCTATTTGATTCCTGGGGCCTTATTTTTTTTGCTAAGTCTCCAATGAAGTTCAATTTGAACACTAGAGCTCCCTAATATAATTAAAGCAGTATTTATTTGCCTAAACTCAATGGTAGGGAGCTCTGCTGGGATCCACTGGGAACTGTACTGCAAACCCAAAGGTCAGGCTTCCCTGATGATTCAAATCCAATGGCTCCAAGGTAGAAAGATGGACAATCTCCTCCCATGCACTTTACAGCCTCTGAAAAACCACTAGCAGTTTAGCGCATGGTAGGTTTAGACCCAAAAACAATGAGTGAGAAACTCAATGGTAGTGAGTTTGAGTTAAATGTTCTCTAGTCCTTCAAAAGTATCAAGAGACAAGTCTAGAAAATGGAATTAAATATTAAAAAATTGGCTGTGTAAGATAAGCAAACCAAATATTGGAGATATATAGATATATATAGCAATTTTATACTATAAAAACAAATAAAGCTTGAAAGCTCTACTATCAAATGTTAAGGCGTCAGAAGCAATCCTTTTTAATGGTTCAAGAACAAGGGGAGAGTGTGGATACTGAAGCATATCTGTCAGGGAATATATTTTGTATAGCCACATCATCTCCAGAAATGCCGGGTTCTTTTCCACTCTCAGGAAGAATGTAAAGAATTTCATTCCTATTTCTTTGATCCTTTATTAGGCTACATTAGAAAAAAGAACACATAGGACTTTTAAAATTAAGCATGGCCAGTGTCTTCTTTTATTGGTAGTTGTTGCTGTGGTTGATTGCCTTCGAGTAGAGCACGACTCGTAGGGACCCTATGAACAAAAGGCCTAAAGCCCCCTACCACTATCGACATTTATCAAAGTTCACAGAGTTTCCTGAGGCAAGTTGTTTAGAAAGTGGATGCCACTAAGGCTCAACAAGTAATGCTTTGTAAATAAAAGATCATTGAATTCTCCCCTTTAATCACAAAATCTCAAAATGAAATGTAAACTTATCCTTTCCTATATAGCTGGTTGGGTAGCAATGAATTTTTAACATTATTTATTTTTATACTAGACTACTAAGAAATTTAATCACAAAAACAGTAACACTACTACTTTGTAAGGAGTGGCATTTTCCCAAACAACATGCTTCTGGAAACTCTATGAACTTTGAGAAACAGTAGTTATAGAAAGGCTGCAGATCTTTTGTTCATAGGATGTCCACGAGCTGTGCTCAACTTAATGGCAACAACAGAGATAAATGATAAAAAAAACTCAATTATTCATTTGATTCAAAAATTCATGAGCCTCATTAAAACTAGGAAAGGGCAAAAAGTGTTAAGTGCAAAATTATACAGTTACCTGGTCTGAAATTTGCCACACTCGGACAGATCCATCACAACTAGCTGATGCCTGCAAAAATAAAAAAGATTTCTCTGTTAGTCATACTTTTCCGTAGGAGACAAATTCAAATGAAAAATCAAATAATTTTATATCAACGTGTAAAATGTTCTTCTACAATTTGAAAATTACTCAGGAAGGAGGCATAAGACAAGGAAAAATGATTACCAGAAAGACGTCTTTAGGATCAAATGAAAGACTTAAAACAGGGGCTTCATGTCCTCGAAATGTTTTCTGTTGGCTGCTATCCAATACCTCTACAACTTTGACTAGAAAATCACTATGAACAATAAGAATAATGCACATGAATAAATGCCAAGACAAAGCTTCTTCTCTTTAAAGCTATGACCCAAATATTTCAAAATTACAAAAGTCATAATTTTTTAAAGCAATCTGGATAATTTTTAGTTGAATTTTATGATTTACCTTTTAGAGTTGCTGACAACACAAGTCATACTTTCCCTTTATGTTCAAAAACACTTCCTGCTCGAGTTTCTTCTATTACATCTTAACAATTTATTATTTGCTAATCTAATTATGAACACACTATTCTCAAATGTATAACATGCTTTCTCCACCTTACCTCAGCAATTCGACTCTCAAAACTTATTTCTTATGAAAAATCATCAATGCAAATAGCAAAATTCCTGATTATACGGTCTAATGGCTAGCTAAAATGTTTTCAATTTTTATCACCTTTCCCCCAAGCTTTTTGGGATTTATAAAACAATCTTTTTTCATTTGTAAATAAGCAAAGAATCTTTACTAGACAAAAGACTTGAAAGTGTCCTACAAAACAGCATGAATCCAATGAATAAGGCCATTCTGTTCCAGCATTATTTTCTTTTTTGTCATTAATGGGCCTTACCTGGATCCAGCTGCAATTTTAGCACCATCCTCATTAAAGATCACGTGGTTTGCATTTGTGGTAAAGCGAGTCAATATGCCATCTGGAACTCCTTCAGGAAATGTATGGACTTGAATAGTATTGTTAGATACAGCAGTGACCAATTTTCCATTCTTTAAAAAAAAAAAAAAGTAAGAAACCCTGGTGAATGCAAAGTGATTATATTTCTGTAGTTAAAAGTCTTATAATGAAAATCGCCTGTGACTTCATCCATAGCCACTGGTGAGAGTCAGCGCCCAGAGCCATCAGGGGCTTTAAGCTCGTTGTCCACTGCTGAAACCCAGGCCCTGACAGGCACCTTGGGTGGGGGGGGGGGAACGGACAACCCCAGACTCTACTTCATGCTCTGCTGGAGAAGGAGGGGCAGTCTCCTGTACCAGTCAGATCCAATTTGACGGTACACGCACGCACGCACGCACACACACTCTTTTTCTTCTTCTTTTTAAAAAAAAGACTACTTCAGCCGTCGCGGCCCTCTGCCCGGGGCGGGCTGCCCTCGGCCCCCGGCTTGGGGCCAGCCGTTGTGGCCCTCTGTCCAGGGTGGGCTGCCCTCGGCCCTCTGTCCGGGGCGAGCTGTCGTGGTCTTCTGCCCGGGGAGGGCTGCGCTTGGCCCCCGGCTCG